ATATCATTATTACTCCCTAAAGAATTTGACCGAAACGTTTAAAGAAATCAGTAATAAAACTGTTTTGACTGACGCGTGTAAGTACTAGCCACACATCGATTTGAACTAACATTGCTTGTAAAAGAAAAGGACCAAACTTTCAGGTTTTAACAAAAATTAGCTACCACTAAAGTCCTTACTCTCCTCCCCAGAGAAATTTTAATAGGGTCTAGAATATTTTATATTTGATTGTTTAAGGCTATCCTTAGTAGTTACGATGTTCTACACAAATGGTTGTGCAAACAAGTTCATCTTATTTTATCACCACATTCTTTAAATATAACGTCCTTCTTCACTGTTCATTTCGTAAAATAATTTTTTATTTAACTAATTTCTATTATTACAATCTGTTTTTTTTCTATTACTGATAGTCATCACCAGCGAAACTCGTGTTAATCAAACACACGTACATATCTCAATGAACTAAAACCTTAATAGTTCTAAATGGCCTAAGAGATGCCTTCAGTTATTCGAACTTAAGAAGAAAAAAAACTGTTCTTCTAAAAATAAACTAAGGTGTTTTACTTACTTTACCAACAGTGCCATCAGTATAGGCCAATGGAAGGACTGGTTGGCTATCGGATCTACACAACGCCATCTCAGTTAGGACTAAATACAAATCTTATACAATAGCAGTTTTGTTTTAACTCCATCTATGTTACTAGACTAAACTATGAAGTAACCACACTTGGACACTCGTTACAAACACACCGAGTTTTGTATTGTACTAGACTGAACTATAAAGTAACCACACTTGGACACTCGTTACAAACACACCGAGTTTTGTATTGTACTAGACTGAACTATAAAGTAACCACACTTGGACATTCATGACAAACACACCGAGCTTTGTATTGTATTAGACTAAACTATAAAGTAACCACACTTGAACACTCGTTACAAACACACCGAGTTTTGTATTGTACTAGACTGAACTATAAAGTAACCACACTTGGACATTCATGACAAACACACCGAGTTTTGTATTGTATTAGACTAAACTATGAAGTAACCACACTTGGACACTCGTGACAAACACACCGAGTTTTGTATTGTACTAGACTGAACTATAAAGTAACCACACTTGGACATTCATGACAAACACACCGAGTTTTGTATTGTACTAGACTGAACTATAAAGTAACCACACTTGGACATTCATGACAAACACACCGAGTTTTGTATTGTACTAGACTGAACTATAAAGTAACCACACTTGGACATTCATGACAAACAC